CTTGATTTTAATTCTTTTCTCTAAAATGTTAACAAAGGTAAATAAAAATTTCATTATAATTAATTGGAAATTACTATTCTACTAACAATATTAATTAATTAATTAATATTAAATTCTAGTAACAATAGTAAATGAAAAGATGTGATGAATGACTAATTTAATCTCCACCATAAATTTATTATCTTCTTTTTATTTATCTTTTTTATTTTATCCTTATTTTGTTTCTCATAATAATATTCCTATAATAAATTTTCTATAGTTTTCTGGTTCTTGTTAAATGGTGACCTTGTGAGGTATCATTTCTGTTAATTATGGCTTAACTTTTGGGTTACTCTTGTCAGTTAATAACTCACAATAATTCGGTGCTTTTCTTCAGCATTTATAGCATTTGCAAATTCATCAAAAGCAAATGAATTATCAATATTACTAAAAACTATGTTAATGCCTTTTTTATGGCACTATTTCCGTTCCTTTGTTATCCATAGACATCGAAAAGTCGTTAGCAAACTCAATTTTTGTTATTTATAAAAAGAAAATATATATATTGATCTCCAGAAAGCATACACAAAAATTAATTAATATTAATGTGTATTTTCTTCCGACTGTATTATTTTAAGCAAAAAAATTTTTTTAATGGGTTGAAATTAATAAAAAACTCTGAATGAAGAAAAATCCGTTATGCCAAATTACTAACTATTACTATAACTATAACTACAATACTAATATAACGGATTTCTATGTGAAGCAAAATAAAAATTTTATATTATTATCATATGGCTGTGATAAGTTTCTTCTTGTTTGGCTTCTATAGAAACACTGTGGACTTCGCCTATCCTTTTTAAATAAGTAATAAATGATGATAAGTTTTAAGGACTTAAATTAAATGAATGCTTGCTTTGTAATTTAAAAACTTACTTTCGTATTTTTGCCAATAATTGGCTATGAGACTTTTCATTTAGTCTAAAAGCAATGGATTCATTTATGACTGCCCATATAAAACTATGAATAATAGTCAAGTTTTTGGTCTTCAGGCAACATCCTATTGTTGGTTTTTATTAGTTAACTAGAGTTGTAAAACTATTAAGTCAAAAATGATGCAAGTAAATTGCTTTAAAATATTAAAGCTCACAAAAAAAACTTGTAAATATATATTCCAAGCTCTTTTTTTTATATTTCTCGTTTCATCAGTTGTTCCCAAGGAGCCAAGTTTTTCTACAAATTCAGTTCTCACACACTCATTTACTACTAAATGCGAACATTCCTTACTTATATTAATAACGTGATGGATAAATTATTATCGAATGAAAACTTTACGCAAAAGCTTTTTATAATTATTATCGAGCTACTGTGTAAATCATTATGAAAGTTTTATAATATCAATATTGATTGATTAAGTTACTTTGTAATAATAAACCCATCTTTATCTTCATCCTTATTGTAGTGAACAACAACGAAAATTTCATCAAGGATAACTTCTGGTCCACGCAAAGCGCAAAGGAAAATAATAGAAAAACAAACTCTGTGATAGAATCATTATTTTTATATATTAATTAAAATTAATTGTCAATAAACTTTTAAAAATAAAAATAGAAATAAAACATTGTCTTTATTTTCTTTGTTTAAAGCGCTTTGATAAAAGCAACAAGTGTAGTTAACAATTGTGGAGCTTTGGTAAAAAGCCACATTTATTTGCTTTAGTGAGCAAGTAA